ACTTCACCGCTGAGCCACACCCCGGCCCTAGATTCTTCATAATGAAAAATAAGACCAGAAACAGAACAGGCAGGGGTGGGGGGTGGGGGGCAGGGTCAGTGGGATGTAGGGCTGGGGGCGGGGCCAGCTCTGCGGTGGAGGAAGCAGCTCCTGAAAAGCCCTGAGGGAATACATACAGCTGGTGGCAAGTGAGGCCCCAGGGTTCACGGGTCGCTGTAGCGTGAAGCTGTGCCAGGCGCTTAGGGTACTGAGATAACTCAGGCTCAGTCCCCATGCTCCAGGACGAAGACCAATCTCAGTGGAGGGCCCTAGCTAAGGAACCAAGAGACCAGAATCCAATGGGAGGGGCCAGGAATGGCCTGTGCAGCTTGATTGAGAAAAACAGAGGCCGTGGCCATGTGTCTAGAAAAACTGGTAGACCAGGTGGCCCAGGAGGCATCAGGTAGACACAACCCAGCCTGCAAGCAGCAGGAGGCCTGAGGTTGGAGCTGCGGAGGTGTTTATCCAGGCTCCCAACACATCTTTGCTGGAACCGTAGAACTTTTTTTTTGTTTGTTTTGAAAATCTTAAATTCTCTTGTGTTCTTCCTGGGTGACCTCAAGCGAGTTACTTAACCTCTCTGATCCTCAATTTCCTCTGATAGAAAATGGGGATAGTCACTGGACTCATCTAAGATGATTATGAATTAAATAAGAAAATACTTATAAAGCATTAAAAAAGTGCTGGTGTTAGCTATTATTATCTTCCAAGTTTCAGGGCGGAAGCTGCCCTCCCTGGGGGCCATGAGGGGAAGACAGTGACGGCTGATCTGAGAGCACCCGGTGAGGAGGGGGGGAGCCACGAGCCCCCMCCCCCACCCCGCAGCCCTTGGCAGGTTTGTGATCAGTTCTGAGGAAAAGCTGTTTCCTTACAGCAGTGAAGAGGGACAGATCCAGAGAAGAAGTTGCTGGAAAAGGGGCCAAAGTGAAGACCCCTGGGGTCCATGAGGGCCAGCGTGGTTGGCCGGAGCCACTCGGCACAGAAGGAAGCCGGGGGTCCAGCTCCAGGAACCACCCCTGGCCCTGCTGCCCCCTGCAGGTGGCTTTTGGACCTGGGGTCCCCAGGAGGGGGACATCAGCCCTCTGGGGAGGGTGGGGCCTGCTGGCCCCTCCCACTTGGGGACAGGGCCTTTCCCTGCAGGCGGCCCTGGGACCACTTCCTCTTTCTTCACTCTGAAGCCAGGAGCTGGCCTGCTGAGCCCGTGGGAAAGATGGGGGCCCACTCCAGGATGTCCTAGCCCATCAGCGTCCCCAAGCCAGGGTGGCTGAGTGTGCTGCCAGAAGTCCCCGTCCCTACTTCAGGACCACCCTGCAGGCCGGCGGGATGGAGCCGGCAAATGAGGAGAAGCTGGCCTTGGTGTCCAACCTGGTGACTGTGTTTGAGAGCAGCAGGTACGGGGCTGCGGGGGAGGGTCTGGGACGGGCAGGCAGCCCCGGGTCCTGTGCCCAGCAGCACATGTTCCAGGCCCCGGCCAGGGCCTCCTGAGCCCCCTCTGCGAGCAGCGCTCTGGGGGGTCCTGCCCTGGGCATCCTCCTGTCTGGGCAGCACCCACACCCTGGGTCATGGGTCCCCTTGGAGCATCGAGAGTGCGATTGGGGTCCGGGAACGCGGCTCGGTGACAGAGCCATGTGTGTTGGAAGAGTTAGACCAGTGTGAGCCGGGCGTGGTGCCACAGGCCTGAAATCCCAGCTGCTCAGGAGGCTGAGGCAGGAGGGTCTTGAGTTCAAAGCCAGCCTCAGCGATTTAGCAAAGCCCTGAGCAGCTCAGCGACACCCTGTCTCTAAATAAAATACAAAAAAGGGGCTGGGGGTGTGGCTCAGTGGTTAAGCACTTCTGGGTTAATCCTTTGTACCTCCCCCACCAAAAAAAACCCAAACCCAAAAACCAGTGTGGTTATGGGGGGAGTGGACTAGGGCAGTGTCGGGGCTGCAGACCCCACCCACTGCCCTTCCAGCACCTCCCAGAAGGAATAGCTGATCMTTCCCGAGCATCTCCTCGCTGTGGGTAGGGCAGACCTATAGCTGGTCACTGCCACAGGACACATCGAAACTGAAAGTGGACGTCATTGAAACGGAGAGAGAAGCGGGGACTGTGCCCAGCGAGGCAGGGTGGACGGACGGGCAGCCTGCCCAAGGGCACCGTCTGCGCCCCCTTCGTGCCGTGTCGTATGTGAYCATCCTAACGGCCAACCTGGATGGCACAGCCTCTGCTTCTGTGTCCACCTGACAGATGAGGAAACGGAGACCCCGGGATGTCCCCGCTTTAAGTCCCTGTGCTTGCTGTGCTTTGGGGCCATGCTGAGGCTTCTGCTGAAGGGAACAGGCAGGACCAGATGTGGGAGTGTGTGTGTGCGCGTGCGTGCATGTGGCCCTCACCACTCAGCAGACATTCCCCAACCCCAGGCCTGTGTTAGCATCAGCCAGGGGTTGGGTCCCCTGGGGGAGGCTGCCAGACCCCCACCCAGAAGGGAGTGGGGCTGAGCACCTGCAGGAACCCGAGAGGAGGAGGAGGGGGAGGCTTCCTGGGTTCGGAGGCTAAGCTCCTGTAGTGACCACGGTGCAAGGTCAAGGTCGTGGGCAGCAGAGTGCTAGGAGGGGCCAGGTGCTGACCAGGAAGGGCCTCCCGTGGGCTCTGGCAGGGAGGTGGCCTGATCCACCCTGAAGTCCCCTGAGCTGACTCTCCCAGGGTCCTGGACCAGCTCGACCCGTTCAGCACCGAGGACAGCTCTCAGGCACGGCCTTCCTGGCCCACCCAGCCCTGGGGGTGGGGGCCATGGGCCTCAGGCACCACGCCAGGTGTGGGGTGACCTCGGTGGAGCCCCCGGGCACTCTGCGGCTGCCCAGCAGCACCCCAGATGGAGTGGGCAGCCCTGCGACCTGAATGGCGACCGAGCAGGTGCCACCGGGAGGGTGACCAGCCTGTCCTGAGTGAGGGGCACCCCGCCAGCGCCTGGCCTGGGCTTCTGGGGGGGCTCCGAGGCTCGGCAGATGGGAACCTGGGGTGAGGAGAAAGCAGAAGCGGGCCTGGGGCGGGCAGAGAAATGCAGAAGCTGAAACTGAGTGTAGAACAGAAAGCCTGGGGCCACCGGGCCAGGCTGCGGGCGAGACGCTGAGGAAGCAGCTCTGGGGTGCCAGGGAGGGCTGAGGGTCCTGGGGCAGCAGCCTGGCCCCTGGTCCCTCTGTCACCCACTGGCTGGGTGGCCTGGGGCAGGTCACCTTGGCCCTCTGGACCTGCTTCTCCYTTACGCAGATGAGAAGCAGCTCAGGGCCAAGGCTCAGAGCCGGCCCGAATGATCCCAATCCCACTTTTGTCGCATCTAAGTGGCAAGTCCCTGTCCTTCCTGTGTCTCAGTTTCCATGGCTACAAAATGGGAATCTTAAGAATCCCTCCCTGCAGAGTTGGAGCTTGCGTCCGTCCGTGTCTGACCCCTGATGCTCCAGCCTCTTTCTCATAATGATGCCTGCTCTGCGCTGTGGTCACAGCCTTTCCAYGCCAGGAGAGATGGGGCGCAGCCCATGTCACTGGACATATCCAGTGAGGGTGGATATGTCCCTCATCTACAGAATGTAACTGACCAGCAGACCCAGAACGCAGGGTAGCCAAGCTGCCCTTGGAAGCCCTGTCCTGGGGGAGCAGGGGATCTGCTCTTAGCCTGTTTTTTTCTTCAGCGGGTCATGTGGGAAGCCAAGGTCCCATCCGAGCTTTAGCAGGTCTGCCCTCACTTTAGATCACTCCATGGCTCCCACCTTCCCTCCGTGTCTCAGTTACTGATGCAGAAATTAACTCGGGGGTGAGGCGCAGGGGGATCTGAGAAGAGCCAACTAATAAGCTTTGTCCGTAGAAGGGGCGGGGGTGCCTTCTGAATTTGACTGCATTTCAAACAGGGAAGTATGTAGTTCCCCAGAGAATAAAACAGGGCACACTGACTCATCTTGAAGACTGAAGTTCCCTCCAAGGTTCGGGAGAGACGTGGAAGTCTTACTTGGCAAGTTTCTCCAGAGTGCCGGGCGCTCGGGAGCCGCTGCCCACCAGAAATGGACAACAGCCACCCCCTGAATCCTCACGGGGACAGTCTGCGGTGCTCCCTGTTCTCTGACAAGGACACTCTTGGGTCTGCTCCTTTCTCAGGACCCCGGAAACAGCGCCCAGAGACCAGGCCCAGCCACCAGCCCCAGGGCCATGGGAGAAGCCGCATGTCGGGGAGACCCCCGAGTCTGGGCCCAGGACCGTGAGCAGGAGGTGTCTGAGCTCCCTGAAGAACAAGCTGTCCAGCGGGGCCTGGCGGAGACCTTGCCAACCTGGGACCTGCGAAGGGACAGTGCCACAGGTAAGCACTGGGCCTCTCCCTTGACCACTTCCGCAGACGCTCTCTCCCGCCAGAGCCCAGGTGGGGGGCTTGTGTGATCAGGGATTAGCCAGAAGCTGGACGGTCCCCCCTCACCAGCCCGGGATGGCTACAGCCCCTGGACTCTCCCCACCTGCCCRTGATCTCATGCCTCCCTCACCCCCGTCAGAATGGCAATCACCAAGCCCACGAGGAGCGGCCCATGTTGGCGAGGATGTGGGGAAAGGCACACCCTTGACATGGCTGGTGGGGCTGCAAATGGGTCCAGCCACTCGGGGAAGCAGTGTGGAGATTCCTCAGAAAACGTGGAATGGAACCTCCATTTGACCCAGTCATCCCACTCCGTGGTATATAGCCAAAGGACTTAAAATCATCATACTGCAGGGACACAGCCACCTCAATGTTTATAGCGGCTCAACTCACAGTAGTTAGACTATGGAACCAACCTTGGTGTGCCTCCAATAATGAGTGGATAAAGAAACTGTGATACATATACACAATGGAATATTACTCAGCCATAAAGAAGAATTAAATTATGGCATTTGCTAGTAAATGGATGGAACTGGAGGCTATCATGCTAAGTGAAATAAGCCAGTCCCCCCCAAAAAAAACAAAGTCCAAATGCTGTCTCTGATATGTGCATGTTGACTCGCAATAGCCTGGGTGGCGGGGTGGTGGTGGTGGTGGTGGTGGTTCAATTTTGGTCTTTTAGGCAAGGAAATTGAAGTTTAAGACACTGTTCAAGGTCACAGGGCTTGGAACAGTCTTCACTTTGTGAACTTGGGATGCTTCACAGCTGTGACCTCAGTTTACCCTCTGGAGGGGGCCACCAGTCTCACACCAGAAATAGAGGTCTGAGTGCGGATTTCCTTAGACTAACACTGGGTCTGGTCCCAAGTGGGTCACCTCTCTCCTACAGATTTGTTTCCTGGCCTGTGGATGGGGCGGGGGGGACAATACATGGGACTGTACTCCAGAGCCAGCTCTGTGGGCTCACACCCTGCTCTTCCTCTTTCTCACTGTGTGACTTTGGGCAGTCACTTTAACCTCTCTGTGCCTTATGATGGATGATCACAGTGGTGTGTTCTGGTGACCAAATGCTGCGTAGCAGACACCCCAAACATAGTGGCCTAATATGACCTCATTGGGTCATGCTGCAGGACAGCTCTTCTGTTGGTCTTGGTTGGGGGCTGCATCAGTCTGCCAGGCTGTCTGGCAGAATCCCACCCGCTGTGTGCTTTGGACAACAGAAAGGTGTTTTCCCACAGTCCTGGGGACTCAAGTTCAAAATCAAGGTGTGTGTGTGGGGGGTGGTTTCTAGGGAGGCCTCTGTTCCTGGCTTGTAGACGGCCACTTTCTTGCTGTGTCCCCGAGTGGCCTTTTCCTCTGTGCATACACATTCCAGCGGTCCCTTCTCTTCTTACAGTGACACCAATCCTATTGGTTTAGGGTCCGTGCTCCTCATCTCACTTGACCTTAATTACCTCCTTCAGGGCCCCCATTGCCAAACATAGTTACAGCTGTTGGAGGTGAGGCCTTCAGCAGGGAGCTGGGGTGCGGTGGGGACAAAGGTCAGTCTTTTATCTTTATTTTTTTAATATATATATTTTTTAGTGGTAGAGGGACACGATATACCTTTATTTTATTTATTTATTTTTATGTGGTGCTGAGGATCAAACCCAGCCCCTCACASRTGCCARGCGAGCACTGTACCACTGAGCCACAACCCCAGCCCTGAGACTTTTATTTTTGGTACAGGGGGTTGAACCCAAGGGTGCTGTACCACTGAGCCGCGTCCCCGGCTCTTTTTATATTTTATTTTGAGACAGGGCCTTGTTGAGTTGCTTAGGGCCTCGCTGTTGCTGAGGCTGGCTTTGAACTTGCGATCCTCCTGCCTCAGCCTCATGAGCTGCTGAGATCACAGCTGTGGGCCACCATCCCTGGCACCTTAGTCTCTAACAAGGTCTCTTTCACGTGGCCGCAGGCAGGTGGCGCCGCAGGCTGGAATGCCCAGGATGGCTCAACCTGTGAGCTGCTCCCTGGGCAGGGACAGCCGAGGCTGGGCTTCTAGGWGCTCCCTCTGTCTCTGCCTCCAGTCTCCCCGCTTTGGGGCCTTCCCTGGAGGTCCCTCCATCAGGCAGCTGGCTCTCTTGAGGTGGTGACTCCCAGCTCCCGAGGGAGCTGCCGGGTTCAGGGGGCCCTTCTGAACCCCAGCACGGGCTCAGCCTCTGTCTGCAGGTTCTCTGATGGCCTCGTGCCAGGGCCAGCCCAGATGCGCTGGGGACAGCGGGAACAGCGGAGGGTGCTCCACAGTGACAAACCGAGGGCTCACCAGAGGCGCCCCAGCTCCCTTCTCCCCTCTCCTCTTCCCGTCCCTGCAGGAGCCCGAGGAGAAGAGGGTGGTCCGGGAGCTGCTGGAGACAGAGCAGGCCTACGTGGCTCGCCTGCACCTTCTGGACCAGGCCAGTGGCCAGCACCCCCGGCCCAGCACCAGTGTCCCCTGCCCGCCACCACCATGTCCTCAGAGCAGGGCTAGGAGCCCTGGGTTTGAAGCCACTGAACCCTGTGGCCGGAGGCTGAGAGAGCAGGGATGAGCCCCTCATCCCCGTTCCCCTCACAGCCCTGGTGGCCAGGCCAGCGCCCACAGGCTGTCTTCCCAGCCTGTCCCCCAGCCTGTCCCCCCAGCCTGTCCCCCTGGCCTGTCCTCCCATCCTGTCCCCCTGGCCTGTCCTCCCAGCCTGTCCCCTCAGCCTGTCCCCTGGCCTTTCCCTCTGGCCTGTCCTCCCATCCTGTCCCCCTGGCCTGTCCTCCTGACCTGTCCCCCCAGCCTGTCCTCCCATCCNCCTGGCCTTTCCCTCTGGCCTGTCCTCCCATCCTGTCCCCCTGGCCTGTCCTCCTGACCTGTCCCCCCAGCCTGTCCTCCCATCCTGTCCCTCTGGCCTGTCCTCCCAGCCTGTCCCCTGGCCTGTCCTCCTGGCCTGTCCCCCCAGCCTGTCCTCCCATCCTGTCCCCCTGGCCTGTCCTCCCAGCCTATCCCCTCAGCCTGTCCCCTGGCCTGTCCTCCCATCCTGTCCCTCTGACCTGTCCTCCCAGCCTGTCCGGGCTCCTCACCCCATCCCCCATGGACACCCCGACTTCCTTAAGGAGCCCTAGAGCCACAGGGCCAGATGGCTGACCTCAGCACAGGGCGCTTGGGCCTGGTGACTCAGGTCCAAGAACTCCACAGACCCCAGATGGGCCCACGTTAGTCAGGCGTCAGACTTTGGCCAAATTCCCACGACCCCAAAACTGTGAAGTGGCCAGAGCAGTCTTCCCTGCCGTCCCTCCCCAGGGCCACTGCAGGCGGGACTCTGGGAGGTCAAGGGGCGGAGCCCTCAGCACCCCAGGCCCCTCTCCCCTGCTGGGCTTCCTCCCCCAGGTAGGCTGGCGGGTGCCCCCCCCCTGCAGCTGGTGACCCAGGGTGGCGGCCCCAGGTGTTCTTCCAGGAGCTGCTGCGGGAGGCGCAGGGCAGCAAGGCCTTCCCCGAGGACGTGGTCCGGCTCATCTTCTCCAACATCTCCTCCATCCACCAGTTCCACGCCCGCTTCTTCCTCCCCGAGCTGCAGCGGCGCCTGGAGGACTGGTGAGGCCGCCAAGCCTGGCCCGTGCCCGCTGTGTGGCCATGGTGGGCCCTCCCCGGGGTGAGGGAGGGACAGGCACAGGTGTGCGCAGGAAGGGGCGGCGGGGCTCACTGACCTGGGCCTTGGACTTCACATCTGGTACTGATCCAGCCTTGGAATCAGCAGCCACTCGATGGCCACATTGTGGTCACACGAGAAACCCTCTTTGCTTTCAACAATGGTAACCACCATTTCATGGAAAAAGTCACTTGCTTTATATATTTTGCCAAAGAAATGCCATGATGTCCAAGGTGTCCTTGGAAGTCTTTGGTAAAGGAGAAAGTCACCGACTGGTGGTCAATAGATAGGGACCTTGTTACAGATATGTGTTTTACTTTGTAATCACCATTAAAGTAAATATTTTAAGGGCTGGGGCTGTGGCTGTGGCTCAGCGGTAGAGCGCTCGCCTAGCACGTGCAAGGCACTGGATTCAATCCTCAGCACCACATAAAAATAAATAAATAAAATAAAGGTATTGTGTCCATCTACCGCTAAAAATAAATAAATAAAWAAATAAACTATAAGCTGGGAGCGGTGGTATATATGACTGTAACCCCAGTAGCTTTGGAGGCTGAGGCAGGAGGATCTTGAGATCAAAGCCGGCCTCAGCAATTTAGCAGGATCTAAGCAACTCAATGAGGCCCTGTCTCTAAATAAAATACAAAATAGGGCTAGGGATGTGGCTCAGTGGTTAAGTGCCCCTGAGTTCAATCCCTGGTACAAAGAGAGAGAGAGACAGATAGATAAAGAGCTGAGTGGTGGTGTACACCTATAATCTCAGTGACCTAGGAGGCTGAGGCAGGAGGATCTTGAGATCAAAGCCGGCCTCAGCAATTTAGCAGGATCTAAGCAACTCAATGAGGCCCTGTCTCTAAATAAAATACAAAATAGGGCTAGGGATGTGGCTCAGTGGTTAAGTGCCCCTGAGTTCAATCCCTGGTACAAAGAGAGAGAGAGACAGATAGATAAAGAGCTGAGTGGTGGTGTACACCTATAATCTCAGTGACCTAGGAGGCTGAGGCAGGAGGATTGCAAGTTCAAGGCCAGCCTGGGCAATTTAGCAAGATTCTGTCTCAAAAGGAAAAATAAAAAGGGACATGGATGTAGCTCAGAGGTAGAGAGTCCCTGAGTTCAATCCTTAGTATCCCCCACACACTCACACACATAAGAGAGGGAGAGAGAGAGAGCAACCCTATGAGTTCACCTACCATCATTCCCATTTGTTTCAAAGTAGAAATTAAAGCACAGAGAGGCCAAGTGATTGGCCCAAGGACCMACAGCTGGAGTGACTGATGTGGTGGAAATACAGCTGAGGCGGGCCAACTCCTGGGTTGGCTTCTTGCTGCCCCTGGGTTGAATGACCCCCAGGCCCTGCCTTGGGAGCATGGTGGATACATTCTTATCCCTTGAGCTTCCTGTTCTCATCTCTAAGATGGGCTAAAGGCTCTTTCCACCCGCAGGGTTGTGAGAGTGGAAAGGGCTGAGGTGTAGGAGGGCCCTGGTCATGCTCCACGGCCAACCATGGAGGAGTTGCCCAGCCCTGTGGCAGGCCCAGTGCTATGGGAGGTGGGGGCCAGGGGACAGGAGCGCCTGCCCTGGGGGAGCCTGGGGGAGCCTGGGGGACCAGCCCGCCCACACCACCAGAGCCCAGGGCTGTTCAGGGAGCAGGCCTCGCCCTGCCCAACTGGAGTCCACAGAGGAGGTGGCCAGACTGAGGACCACCCCTGGGTCTCCTTCTCAGGACGGCCACGCCCCGCATCGGGGACGTGATCCAGAAACTGGCCCCGTTCCTGAAGATGTACAGCGAGTACGTCAAGAACTTTGGGCGAGCGGCAGAGCTGCTGGCCACCTGGACGGACAAGTCCCCGCCCTTCCAGGAGGTCATCGCCCGCATCCAGGTGAGGCGGGAGGGGAGCCTGGCTGGGGTTGGGGGCGTCTCCCGGCTCCCGCCCGCCCCACGCCCGCCCACCTGTCCTCCGCAGAGCAGCGAGGCCTCGGGCAGCCTGACCCTGCAGCACCACATGCTGGAGCCGGTGCAGAGGGTTCCCCGCTACGAGCTGCTGCTCAAGGAGTATGTCCAGAAGCTGCCGGCGCAGGCCCCCGACCGCGCGGACGCCCAGAGTGAGGAGCCAGGGCTGGGGGGGGGGGGCACCTGTTTACTGAGCACCTACTGTATGACTGTAGGATCGTCACCATCAGTAACCTTGGTTGAGACCTTATGGACATCATCCATACCGCGAGCCATGGTGTGTCAAAAAAGGTCACTGAGGCCCAGAGAGTTGAAGTGACTTGCTCAAAGTCACGCAGCCGGAAAGGAGGAGAGCTGCAGGTGCCAAACCCTGTGCTTCTCCCACTGTTCCGGCTTTGTGCAGGGAACAGGGAGTCACCAAAGCCAAACTGCGCTGCCTTCGGGTCCCTTCTAGTCTCCCGACCCTCGATGGCCTGCGCCATCCAGACACCACCTGTGCAGGACGCCCAGGGGCAGTGCTGGAGGTCCCGAGGGCCTTCCATCCCGGCCTCCAGCCCCTAGCCCCAGCTTGTCAGGGGATGACCCTGTCCTGCCTCCTCTCCAGAAGCCCTGGACATGATCTTCTCTGCGGCTCAGCACTCCAATGCGGCCATCGCCGAGATGGTAAGCGCGACCCTGGGGCGAGCGCGTGGGGGACCCCTGGGCCTGCCCTGCCTCCTGTGGCCCGATCCACTGGGCCCCGACGTCTGCCCACTGCCAGCCGCCCGCCCGTCCGGCTCCACCAAGCAGGGCCCTGCTGGCCTGGCTGAGGTGCCCCTCCCCTAGGAGCGGCTGCAGGACCTGTGGGAGGTGTACCAGCGCCTGGGCCTCGACGACGACATCGTGGACCCCTCCAACCACCTGCTCCGCGAGGGCCCTGTCCTCAAGATCTCCTTCCGCCGCAGCGACCCCATGGAGCGCTACCTTTTCTTGGTAGGGGCTGCTGGGAGCCTCCCACCCTGGGGAGGGGAGCTCCCGGTTCCTCTGGCCCAGGTGGCCTCTGTCTGGCCACTACCTGGCACTGCAGGGGGTCAGGGAAGACCCYGTGTTTTGTACTGTGCTTTGATGCCTGGTGACTTAGGAAGTCGGGAACTACCTCTGGGCCTCAGGAATTTCTAACTACRCTCTTCCCAGAGATGCCCCAGGAAACAAAAGAGTTGGAGTTTGAACTGTTAATCCTGTTCTAGGACAGGTACAGCAGGAAGGCATTAGGTTAGCTACCAGGAAGAACTGCCTTGTTCACTCTGAAGAAGCCAGGGGCTCCCCTGAGATCTGGCAAGGTGGTCCCACCTCACTCCCCCAAGGCCCTGGGCCCTGATCCCCCTTGAGGACAGCCTAGTAGGTTTTGAGGTTGGCTTTGTTCCCTYGAGGCCCACAGGTAAGGTGACCTTCAGCACCATCCCAGTGGGGCAGGGGCTAGACAGCCCCCTTCCTTCTCCTCTGTGATGTCCAGGGAGTTAGGCCAGAGAGTGACCAGAGAGGAGTGGGTTGGTGGCGCCGCCCACCCTGAGAAGCCCCGCCCACCGAGAAGCCCCGCCCACACTGGGAAGCCCCGCCCATACACTCGCCCCGCCCCTGCGCTCACCCCGCCCCTGTCCCTGCAGTTCAACAACATGCTGCTCTACTGCGTGCCCAGGGTCATCCAGGTGGGCGCCCAGTTCCAGGTTAGGACCCGCATCGACGTGGCCGGGATGAAGGTGAGAGGCTCCGCCGGAAGGTGGGGGTGACCCAGGTCCTGGGCGGCGAGGGAGCTGGTGGTCCTCAGCTCGCGGGGCTGGAGGGGCCGGAGGGAGAGCTCACCCGCGGGGCCAGCCTCCTGCAGGGACCCTTCCTGGGCCCCAGGGGTGGGGCATGGTCCACAGGCTTCAAGCAGTGACGTGCCCTCCAGGCCCCTGGTGGCGTGGTGGCCGCAGGTTCTGAGTCAGCAGGTCTGAGCAGGGCCGGGCAGTGCTGGGGACTGAGCCAGGGCCTCGTGCTAGGCAAGTTCGCCACCCCTGGGCTGCGTCTCCAGCCACCGTCCCAGCCCTTTAAAACAGTTTTTTAAATATAAGCCAGGCTCAGTGTCRCACACCAGTAATCCCAGCCACCTGGGAGGCTGAAGCAGGAGGATTCCAAGTTTGAGGCCAGCCTGAGCAACTTGGTGAGACCTTGTCTCAAAATAAAAAATAATAAAGGGCTGGGGATGTAGCTCAGAGGTAGAGCCCAGGCCTCCCATGCAGGAAGCCCTAGGTTCAAGCCCTAGCGCTGCCCAAAATAACGATAATGCTGCTGATGATGTTAATTGTATTCTCTAACAATCAGATAATACATATTTCAAAATCAAACAATATAAAAATATATAAAATGAGCAGTCTCCTCCCTGCCCTGTCCCCTTGTTCCCCCTCCTGAAGTCATCTTGGCTTCTCTTTGCACATACATGCTATCACCATGGCCATGGCCCTGCATCWGTAGTATTTTTGGAGAGTGTTGCCCTTGGCGCATTAGAGCTGCCTCCTCTTTTTATGCGGCTGCATAGTATTCCACTATGGGTGGGCTGCAATTTACTCAACCAGTAATCTGCTCAGGGCTGTGTAGGTTGTCTTCAGTTGTCAGCTGCAGGAAATAACCTTTCAAAGTCTGCCTGAGTGTGAGTGCATCTACTGTGGATCCCGCTGAGAAAGATAAGGAAACCAAGACTCTGTTTAAGAGTCGCACGGCAAATCCGGGTTTGGACAACCTGGATTCAAAGCCCCAAGCGTCCCTGGGTCTGGAGCCTGTGGTCTGATCCCCACGCTGAAGCTTCCCAAGTGAGGCTTCTGCCCAGAGCCGTGAAGTCTGTGGCCAGATCTCAGACGTGGAGGAGGAGGTGGCAGCCATCCTTCCTGACCATGGCGCTCCCTGCCGGCTTCTGAGCCCACTGTGTCCTGAAGCCAGGGCTGGACCTGCAGGGGCCCGGCCTCCCCCCACCCTTCCATGTCCCCACCCCCCCACCCCGTCCCGAGCTGCAGGTGTGGTCCAGTCTGGAGCCTGGGCCCTGAGACAGCTGGGGACCCCCTGCTCCATGCTAGATTGTCTGCAGTGGGCACAGCCTGCAGGCGCTGATGGCCCATGTGTTCAGGGGTGTCTCTGTGGGATCCTCCGTAGGTGGCATCTCGTCACAGACTCAGGCACAGAGAAAGAGACAGAGATTGACAGAAAGATCAAGAAACAGGCACCAACACAGACATAAAGAGAAAATACTTAGAAGTGGGGTGCAGCTTGGTGGTAGAGTGCGTGTTTGGCGTGTGCAAGGTCCTGGGGTCGATCCCCAGCACCAGAAAGAAAATATGTCTGGTGAGCTTTTCTCCCTCTAGCGGCCACACAGCACCCTCTCCTGGATGGTATTGGTATGGCAGGTGCAGAGCTGTCCGCAGCCCCATGTCTATGCTGGACCGTGTTCTGAGTCTGAGGTTTAGAAGAAGCAGTCTGGTCTTGAACCATCAAGATGGCTCTCACTGACCTATTACACTGGCCTCCTTCTGGTGTGTCACTGACTCCACAGTCTCACCTGGTCTGAATGTTTTGCCATCCTGCCCAGGGCCAGTCTGCAAAGAAGGAAGGACTATGGGTCCAGCCCCTCAGGGACTCCATGTAGAGCTGTGCAGGCTGTGCACTGCACAAGGATACCTCATCTGAGAGGTGCCATCTGCAGCAGACTGCGTATTGGCCGACTGTGACAGTATGGAGATGGCATATTTATAGTGAGAAGTGTCCAGCAGATGGCAGTCAAATGTCTTGTTCCAACAAAATCTGGATGTTATGCCAGTTTGCCAACAGATGTCAGCAAGGCATTTGGAGGAAGGGTGTCCTTTCACCAATGAGGACAAAGGACCGTGTGGACAAGCAGGGCTCCGCAGTGACCACACCYGGGGCTGGGTGGGGCTGGGTGGGGCTGGTGCAGCAGAGGCTCTGTGAGCATCTCGGGGGGACCCCGATACCCAGGTCAGGAGTTCCCAGCTCCCCTTCTTTTGGGGGGTGTTACAGGGGACCTGACRCAGGGCCACTGGCCACATCCCCAGCCTGTTTTGTCCTTGATTGAGCGCAGGCTGCTGGGTGGCTTCCCCGAYTCTTCCCCCCACCTCGCCTCTCACCTGGCGGCTCCCAGGGCCCAGGGCGGTGAGTCCAAACCTCCRCYGCCCTAGCAGAGGGGACACTGGCTCTGGGGCCGAGGCCAGGCCTGCTGGGAGGAGGGACGTGCTGGGGGTCAGTGCTGTCAGGGATGCGGTRGCCCCCCATCACCTGTGAAGTCCCGGCCACTGCGAGGCCTGGCGGAGGGCTCAAGGGTCAGGTGGCATCAGGCCCCAGTTTCCCAGGCGCAGGCTCGGGCTCAGGTGTGTCCAGGTTCTTTCGTGACCCTCTCCCCGGGGCCCRGGAGGTCTGCGCTGCCAGGACCCAGGGCTGGGGTGGAGAGGTGTTCTCCCACCTGAGCTGTGGTCCCCCACAACCTGAGCTGCGACCCTGACTTTGCCATTTCGTGCTGGGTGACCTCAGGCAGGTCTGTGTCCTCCTGGTTGAGGATGGTCATGTCTGCCTTCCAGAGTGGCTGCACAGATTGTCTTCTTTCTTTATTTTATTTTTTTTTTTGTACTGGGGATACCCAGAGGCACTTAACCACTGAGCTTTTTTTATTTTATTTTTTTTAGAGACAGGGTCTCACAGAGTTGCTTAGGCCCTCGCTAAATCACTGAGGCTGGCCTTGCCCTCGGGATCCTCCTGCCTCAGCCTCCTGAGCCTCTGGGATCACAGGCGTGGGCCAGGGCCTCCTTCAGCTTTTTATCATGGACATTTTTAAACCAAGAAAATGGTGCCCTAACCCTCACATACCCACCTGGTTTGGGGACCCAGTTTCCATTTGAGGTGAAGCTTTGTGGGGGCTGTCACCTGCACTCGACACTGGGCCACCGGAGCTGGGACCCCCGGAGCTGCTTCAAGGCCCCTTGGCTTAGAGGGGGCCCGGTGGCAGGTGCCTTTTGCTGGTTGGGCAGCACTAAGGAGGTGGGGGACGAGCTCCCCAGCCCTGTCCCTYGCTCCAATGGGGACTGCTTCCTGGGCACAGCCCACCTCCCTCCTCTCTGCCYGTGCTGCTGCGCAGGGGACAGAGAGTGACAGGGCTGACCGGTCCCCCTGCCTGCAGGTGCGGGAGCTGCCCGACGCCGAGTTCCCCCACTGCTTCCTGGTGTCGGGGAAGCAGCGCACCCTGGAGCTGCAGGCGCGGTAGGAGCGGCTGGGGGGCAGGCGGGGGACCGGCCGCGAGCCTTGGGACACCCATGTGCACCTTCCTTCTGAGCAGGTCCCAGGAGGAAATGGCTTCCTGGATCCAGGTATGGGAACGCTCCGGGGCTCCTAGGACTCTGACCCTAGAATCCGGGTGTGCCCAGCTGCTCCTGGTCTGTCTGTGGAGTTTGGAGTCAGCCCTGGGTTCAAATCCTGCTGCCTCTCTCTGCCTTGCTGGAAATCCTGGGGCGAGTCCCTTGACCTCTCTGGGCCTCCGTGTTCACATCTGTCCTCGGGCTAGTTTCTCCTTCCTGGCGTCAGCCCCTGCGTGCCTGGGGGCCAGGGCCTGGTGGGCTGGTTCTCTGCTGGGTCTGTGGGTTTGGGGGTGGCTCCTCAGTGWCACCCCCTCTCCGCCCTCCGCCCCAGGCCTGCCAAGCCGCCATCGACCAAATTGAGAAGCGGAATGAGACCTTCAAGGCTGCGGTGCAGGGCCCCGAGGGGGACGCCCAGGAGCAGGTGGGTGAAACCTGTGCCCCCTCCTCCACGAGCTCCCTGTCTGCTCCACCCAGGTGGCTCCAAGGGACAGGGAGTGTCACCCTCAGGAGTGATTCGGAGGGACCAGGGGAAGCCCTTCCTCCYAACATCTCCCCAGTCAGCGACTCCGAGACCAAGTTTCCCACTCGCAAAAACGGCCTTGGGGGGCGGCCCCCTGCAGTGTCCCGGGGAAGGGGACAGAGACTCCAGCTCTGGCTGCCGGCCAGGTGCAGTTTGGGATTTGAAATTACCCGAGAAACATAGCCCATGGGACCGGGAGGCAGGGAAGGTGGGTCAGGGAGACTATCTGGGACTTGATTTCCTCTATGAGCTTGCTGGGCGACTTGGCTGAGTTACTGGACCTCTCTGGGCCTCARTGTTCTCACTTGTAAAATAAGAAGAGTAGTAAGTGACCCGTCGCGAAGGCTTGGTGGGTTCAGTCAGTTTCAAGTGGAAGCCCCGGGGACACCCCGCGCGCAGACCTCCTCCAGCGCCGCTGCCCAGCCCCTCCTTGCCCCACAGCTGCAGTCTGAGGAGCTGGGCCTCCGAGCACCGCAGTGGGTGCGGGACAAGATGGTGACCATGTGCATGCGCTGCCAGGAGCCCTTCAACGCCCTGACCCGCCGGCGCCACCACTGCAGGGCCTGTGGCTACGTGAGTGCCCCCGCCCCGCCGTCCAGCAGGGCTCCTCCCTGGGCCGGCTGCTGCCCAGCACCCGAGCCTGGCGCAGGTGGCCCCCGGCAGCGCTCAGCTGGGCAGCCCCACTTCACAGATGGGAGATGAAGCTCCCGTTAGTAAAAGGACCTGCCCGATGTCCCAGAGCTGACCCTGTCYTCCCACCTGCCGTCTGTCCACCCTTTCCCAAGGCTCGGTGCTCAGCTGGGCTCAGGGGCCAGGGCAGCCCCTCCACACCTCTTGCTTTGGGCCTGGTGCACCTGCTGCTCTGTGGGAGCCCGTCCCTGTCACACCATGTCCCCTCCATCTACTCTGCAAGCAGAGAAGCCCAGGGCACCCTCCRTCTTTAACAACCTCTGGGGCACAGYAGGARTCCAGCAGGACAGGTTGGGGCTAGTCGGGGAGGTGTCCCCAAAATACATGGGACTGCAATCGGGACAGAGGTCAGTTTCTAGGACCGAGGACACACCTGCACCAGAAGGCAAGCCCTGAGTCACAGGCACCCGCCAAACAGGAGGGGCCTGGGGACTCTGCTGTTCTGTCAGTGAAAGTCTCACCCATCTACACTCGCACCTCTGTAAGGAGTCCCTAACTAAGCACAGGGAAGAGGCCCCCAGGGTGGCCCACACCTGGAATCCCAGSGGCTCGGGAGGCTGAGGCAGGAGGATCAGGGTTCACAGCCAGCCTCAGCGATTTAGTGAGGCCCTGAGCAACTCAGCGAGACCAGGGCAGGGGATGAGGCTCAGTGGTTGAGCGCCCTGGCTTTAATGCCTAGTACCACAGGGGGAAAAAAAGAGAGAGAAAGAGAGAGAGCTCCAACCTGCCTGTAGTTTTGAAGAATTGCAAAATTAGAAGTTGGTGAAGCAGAAAAATATAGTAAATAATTTAAATCTCTCAACACAAATAAAACACTCCCAGGCCAGCCGGAGCCTCTGTGTGGGGCCCTGGCTGCCGAGGCCTCTCATGCCCCAGCACATCTCTGCGCCCTGGGAGTCGGTGACTCATCCTTTCGGTGGCCCAGGTGCCTGGTTTCTGTCTCCCCTGCTGCCAGACGGGAGGCTTGCCAGGGAGGGACGCTCAGCACTGCCCTGGGCGCACACCCTCCTCCCGGGCCCTTCCTCCCGCCCCTGCGCCTGCACCCCCTTCCTGGCTGCCCGTCTTGCTGGGTGCTGTTCCTGGGTCTCCCGACGCCCGGCTCCTGGGTCTCCCCAGGCTGATCCRCGGCAGCCTCTGGGGCTTCTCAGTGTGGACTCGGGGTGGGGTGGGGGTGCTCCATCTCTTCCCAGGTAAAACAACTGGCCCATCATTTTTTCTATTAGAACATTCTGGACTCTGGGATGGAGTAAAAATTTGCATGAGTCCCAAAGCAAACTGAGGGATTTTGAAGACACACCCTGAYGGTGGAGGGTCTGCGCTGCCACTTTGCTGTGTGGCCCTCAGCAAGTCATTGCCCCCTCTGGGCTGGCCTGCTGTCACCCTCACACGAGGACAAGAGCCCTGGCCCTTCACTTGGAGAACTTTGATAAGTGAATGGGTTGAGGCCCCCAGAGTCCCGCCCACCCCATGAAAGGGGGGAAGTAGGGGCCCTAGCAGAGGGGCCAGGCCCCAGGCCTACAGCCTGGGAGCCAGAGCCTGGGCTGGCCCGCCCTGAAGCCTCAGGTCCTGGAGCTCAGCCAGCCTGGGGACCAGCTCTGCCCTGCCCCTGCAATGGCTCTCATGTCCCCGCCCGCTGACGATGCCGTGTCCCCAGGTGGTGTGCGCCCGGTGCTCCGACTACAAGGCCGAGCTCCAGTACGACGGCAACCGGCCCAGCAGGGTCTGCCTGCACTGCTTCACCTTCCTCACGGGGAGCGTGCTGCCCGAGGACAGGGACAGGAGGCGGGGCATCCTGGAGGTGGGGCCTCCTGCCCCTTGACCTTGGGTCCCTGCTGGGCGGGTCCTGGGTGCCGAGGGGCAGTGCGGTCACACCTCCCTCCTCTCCCCCCCCCCCCCCCCCCCCGCCGGGTACCGGGGGGCTTCTGCCACGTGTCTCTGCCCACGTCCCCGAGGCCTGCCCCACGGTCCTGGGAGGTGTCTCAGACACCACTGGACAGAGGGGGACCCTGAGGCTCCAGGACAGGCYGAGCCTGAGCTCTGTCCACCCCGAAGCCCTGGGAGATGGCAGGGTCCACCAGCTGGAAGGGACTTCAGGGACCAGCTGGGCCTCTCCCGTGGAGACCCAGGTCCAGAGGGTGACCTGCTCCACACTTTTGTCGCGGGTTTTTTTTTGTACGGTCTGTCCACTGCCTCGGGGCCTCACCAAGCCCCTCCCCTCCCCCACAGAGGCCCCCTATGGGGTCCCGGCTGTTCCACAAATACCATGTCACCATGTCACCCAGCCCGGATCCTGGCCGCACCCCAAAAGGCCAGGTGGGCGCCACGTCCCTGGGAGATGAGAAGGAGCTGTCYGCTCCCAGGTTCAAGTTGGTCCTTCCCACGGACATGGCTCCCGGCCCAATCCCCCTGTCCCTCCAGGCCTGGTCCCTGCCCAGGCCCCAACTCTGTTCCTTGGGGCATCCCACCAGGGGGGAAGCCTTCCCGGCCCCTGTCCCCCGTGGGCGCACACACTTCCGGTCAGGTCCCGCCGGGGCTCCATGAAGCTCAGCCACTGGCCAGCCTGGTGACTTAGGCACATGGAGTGACATTTCTGAGTCCCCGGGGCAAGTSACCCCTCCTTGCTTCAAAGGTTAAACAGGGAGCCGTCCAGCCCCGGGCCTGCCTGTGGGTCCAGGACACTGGTGCCCCTGTCCTCTCTGCTTCCAGAAAGGCGCTCCRCCCGGGCCTGGCCAGAGCCTGATGTGCAGCTTCCTGCAGCTCCTGGGGGACAAGTGGGGCAGGAGCGGCCCCCGGGGCTGGTGTGTCATCCCCCGCCACGACCCCCTGGTGCTCTACGTCTACGGGGCCCCTCAGGTAAGGCCCCCTCCCGCTGCCCGGCTCTGGCCTCCCCACGGTGAGGGCAGCGTTGGCAGATGGACACCGAGGCCCAGGGTCCAATCTGAGCTGGACCCAGACAGCAGCTCGCGGGTCCTTCCCCTCTGAGGACCAGGTCTCTATGGGGGACCCCCCTGGGGTCGGAGGGGCCGTGTGTGCTCTGAGTGGGGTGGCAGCCCACCTCTCCCTCCTCCCCCAGGACACGCGAGCCCACACCTCCATCCCCCTGCTGGGCTACCAGGTGACCCCTGGGCCCCAGGGGGACCCCAGGGCCTTCCAGCTGCAACAGTCGGGCCAGCTCTACGCCTTCAAGGCCGAGACGGAGGAGCTAAAGGGCCGCTGGGTGAGGGCCATGGAACAGGCAGCCGGGGGCTGCAGCCCCGGAGTGACTGATGACGGGGACCTGTCTGACTGAGCCACCGCCGGCCACACGTCCTATTCCAACATTCAGGAGAGATGGGTCCAGCCGGSGGACGTGGTGCACATCTGTAATCCTAGAGGCTCGGAGGCTGAGGCAGGAGGATGGAGTTCAAGGCCAGCCTCAGCCATTTAGAGGGCCCCAAGCAACTCAGCAAGACCCTGTCTCTAAATAAAAATGTGAAAAGGGGGCTGGGGTGTGGCTCAGTGGTCAAGTGCCCGTGGGTTCAATACCCCTTAACCAAAAAAAAAAAAAAGAGAGAGAAAAAGAAGAAAATATGGGTCCATTCCTTTGAGAAGGGGGAACCAACTGTCCCAATTTGCCAGGGCAGAAGGGGTCCCTGGGCCATGGGACATTCAATGCTAAAACTGGGAAAGTCCGGGTAATCCAGAGTTGTTGGTGCTCTTGGGGCAGCTCTCAAGCTGGATTGCTTTTCCAAAGTACTGGTGAGCCCGGGGCCGTGGCCCTCACCTGCAATCCCAGCCACTYGGGAGGCTGAGGCAGGAGGATCACAAGTTCAAGGCCAGCCTCAGCAATTTAGTGAGATCCTCAGTAACTTAGGGAGACCCCGTGTATCAAACTTAAAAATAAAAGGGGCTGGAGATGTGGCTCAGTGGTCAAATGCCCCTGGGCTCAATCCCCAGTGCCAAAATGAAAATAAAACTAAAAATACTGGTGAATATATCCACATGTTAATTTTAAGATTAAAAAATATCAACCAGTACGGGGACTCTCTGTATTTTATGATAAATTTTGTTGAGCATCTAAAACTTCTCGAAAATGTAGAGTCTACGTAAAAGGAAAATAAACTTAAAACAAATTCTAAGAAAAAAAAATCAACCAGGAGTATGCACACCCCAAGATTCCAGCACCTCAGGAGGTTGAGGCAGGAATATCACAAGTTCGAGGCCAGCCTGGGCAACTTAGCGACACCCTGTTTCAAAAAAAAAAAAAGAGCTGGGGATGTGGCTCAGTGGTACAGTGCCCCTGGGTTCAGTCCCCAGGACAGGGGAAAAAAAATTAAAAATAAAGATTATCAATGTCTGTGCCCACCACCCAAGATTTTTATTGACTTGACCTGAGATGTGGGAGGCCTGGGTATTTTTTTAGGAGTACCCACAGGAGTCTAGGGTGCAGCCTGAGGTACGTGGGTGAAGATAGCAAGCTAACTACCAAGGATCAGCAGCAGGATGGTAGCAATACTGATAAGCATCTAGAGGGCCTAGCGCTGGGCTGGGTGTTCTATGTGGATTATCTCCTTTTATCATCAAGGATTGCAGTCCCCATTTTTCCCTTGAGGATACTGGCCCAGAGGGGGTTAGTGACTGGCTTAAGGTCACACAGCTCAGGAATGCCAGAGTCAGGGGACTAAAGTCAGAGATTTTTCCATCAGATAGCAGAACAGTAAGGTCGGGAGAGCAGGGAGGAGAGTGGGAGAGGGAAAGGAGGGAGAAAGAGCCAAGAAAAGGGAGGGAGAGAGGGAAAGGCTGAAGAAAGAAGTTGGTACCTAATCTGTGCCCTTCCATGAGCCACTGGAGGAGGAAGCTGCTTTTCCACAGGAGACCACCAGGGGGTGGCAGTGGTCAGCAGTGGCCTGGGCCCCTCAGCTCTTCCATCTTGCTGGGTTCTGCCCTTGATGGGAAGGGCGTGGGGAGGAATGGACAAGTCACAGGTGTTTGACCCACCCTGGGCCAGCCGTTGGCCTCTGGCCGGAGGACACTTCCCGTTTGGAGGGTGTGTATTTTTCCCTGCAGGTGGTTTTAAAAAGCCCAACAAGCCAGGTGCCGGGGGACACACCTGTGATCCCAGTGGCTCCCGAGGCAGGGAGGTCACAAGTTGAAGGCCAGCCTGGGCCATGAGCAGGACCCAGTCTCAATAGATAAAGAGCTGGGGATGTGATTCAGCGGAAGAGCACCGTGGGCTCCTTCCCCAGGACAAGAGCTCAGTGGCCGACTCTCGGGGCCAGCCACGGGCCCCCTTCACTGGTTCACCCAACAATGCCAAGCATCTTGCAGGAASCACACGCAGTCCCTGCACCGTTCAAACGTCCCTGCCCTCATGGAGGTCACGTTCTAGGGAAGGACACGGGCAACAAGACAGAAGTGAAATAGAGAGCACGCAGTGTGAGAAGTGCTCCCCGAAGGGGCCCAACCAGCCTGTACTTTCAAACTTTAAAACTGAAAGTCTTCAGTTCCAGGAAGCCCCTCCCTTTCCAGGCAATCGGACAGCTGCTCACCCCGCAGAAGGAAAAAGTGACAGAGCATAGATTGAGTGTGTGCGTGTGTGCGTGCGTGTGTGCGTGTGTGTGTGCGTGTGTGTGTGTGTGCGTGTGTGTGTGCGTGCGTGTGTGTGTGTGTGTGTGTGTGTATTTATTTTTTCATTGCTTTTATTTTTTAAATACACGACAGTGGGATGCATCACGATTCTTATTACACATACAGAGCACAATTTTCCGTATCTCTGTATGTAAAGTATGTTCACACCAATTCATGTCCTCATCCATGTACTTTGGATGATGATGTCCATCCCATGCCACCACCCTTGCTAACCCGMTTGTGTGTGTATTTAAAAGGAAAATGAAGGAAGGCCTTAAGAAGTCAATGTTTAGCCGGGCACAGCGGCCCAGGCCTGTAATCCCAGCAGCTCGGGAGGCTGAGGCAGGAGGATCTGAGTTCAAAGCCAGCCTCAGCAACAGAGATGCGCTAAGCAACTCGGTGAGCCCCATCTCTAAATAAAATACAAAATAGGGCTGGGGCTGGGGCTCAGGGGTCGAGTGCCCCTGAGTTCAACCCTGGTACCCCCCCCCCAAAAACAAAAAAAAAAGAATCTGTGTCCTCCTACCTCAGCCTCCCAGGGAGTGGGATTCTAGGAGTGCACCACCACTGTGCCCGGCTTCAGGGGGACATATCTGGTGGCCCTGATGGACCGCGAGTCAGCTGGGAGAGAACCTTACCCCCCACACCCCTCCCCACTGCCTTCCTCCTGGGACATCTTTTCTCAGCCTCCAGAATCCTGGGGCTCTGGGAACAGGCTTCGTGCCTTCATTCATCCTGTGTCTCTTCCTGTGATCGCTGGGCTACCGTATTGTTTACTATGCACTAAGTGCCGGTCACTTCCTCCCCAAACAGACTTCTTTTTATGCTGGGGAGTGGGGCACGTGGCCTACTAGGCAGGCGCCCCACCGCTGAGCCACACCCCCACCTCCCAAAACAGTGTTTTGACATCCGTTCAAGTGTCCCCATGGGTAGATGAGCAAAGTCGTCCAGCAAGGTTAAGTAACTGGCCCGAGGTCACCCAGCCTGTAGGTCATGACCTCAGTTCACACCTGGGCCCCGCTGATTCCCCCAGCTGTCACTAGGGGGCAGTGTCTCCCAGTGGTTGGGGGTCCAGGCCACCACCAGCCCTGGGCAGACCCCACCCAGCCRGGCCTCTGAGTGGCTGTGGGGTCTTAGAAGCTCCAGGGCCCTTGCTGGGTTTCTTCCCTAAGGGCTGGGGGAGGAGGGTGTCAACTGAATGAATAAGTGTCCAGCACTCCACAGCGGTGGCCTGTGGTAACTGTCCCAAGTCACTGTGGTGACCGTCTGCTCTCCAGGCTGTGCGGCTGCCTCTGGTCACACGCTGCAAGCATTTACAGAGTATCTAGAAACACAAAGTTGAATGAGTGGTGGTCCCTGCTCTTGGGGACCTCTAGGCCTCTAGAATGCCCTGGAAAGGTGAGGGGTGGGGGGGACACTGGGGACTGAACCCAGGGGCGCTCCACTGCCGAGCCCCATCCCCAGCCCTCTTCATACTTTACGCTGACACAGGGTCTGGCCCCATTGCCCAGGCTGCCCTTGAACCTGAGATCTTCCTGCCTCGGCCCCTGGAGTGTGGGACTTTAGGTGTGATGTGAGCCACTGCGTCCAGCTCCCTGGAAAGCTTTTGGAAAAAAAATCCCAGGATCCAGGCTGCACCCGTGCCTGTCACCTGAGAAGCCCCGGGCACGAGTATGTCACAGCGCACCAGAGACTCCAGGGCAGTTGGATCAGCGGGGACAGGCCAGCTCTTGAGCTCTGGTCCCTAAATTTTTCTAGAGGGTTTGGTCTGCGTGGGAAGTGGCTTCGCTGCGGAGTTCAGGGAGGGGGAGGGACGGAGGCCCTGAGCTTGGGGCGGTGTTGGGCGAGCGGAGGGTTAGGGTTAGGGTTCTAGCAGAGCTCTCAAGTGGTTGTCCCTGCTCTTTGGGACAAGAGCAGGTTTGGGAAAAGGGCACAGCCACTAGCCAGCACCGCGATCCCGCTGTAAGTCCCCCACACTGCCCTGTGCGGCCATCCCAACCTGCCCCTTGCCTCTGGGCAACCTCTTCTGACCTATGATTTGGGCCTGTCCAGGTCACGCAAATGGGATCCTGGTGGCTCGAGCCTGGCTTCTTTTGCTCCGCATTATGTCCTGAGACTYCGCCATGACACGGCCTCTACCTGGACTCACCGCCTCCCATGGCTGAGGAGTCCTCTCCCAGGGGGGGGGACACGGCCGCCTGCCTCTCTGCTGGCCACTGAAGGACACTGGGTTCCTGCCCGTGTCAGCTTTCCGTCTCTGTGACAAAAGGCCCGAGAAAGCAGCTCCAAGCGGGAAAGGTTTGTTCCGGCTGCCAGCTGCAGAAGTTCTGATCCGTGTCCACCGTCTCCATGGCTTTGGGGCCCGAGGTGAAGTAGCAGGGGCACGTGGTGACGGAGAAGCCGAGAAGGAGAGACAGAATGAAAGTCAGGGATCAGGGACAAGATGGAYCCTTCCAGGGCACGCCCCCAGCCACCTGCTTCCTGGAAGTCGGCCCCATCTCCTAGGGTTGCCARCAGTCGCCTGCCAAGGAGACCATCAACAGGGACCCCAGGCTGAAGCCATCGGTGAGGCCAGAGTCCTCAGGAGCCAGTGGCTTCCCCTCTGAGCCCCTCCATAGTCTTTGGAGGTGGTTCAGATCCACCCGGACCCTCGCCCTGTGGGGATCATGGGAGATGCTGCTTTGAGCCAGAAACCTCCTTGTCCGGGTTGTTGTGTGAGCACAGTCTCTTCTCCAGGGTAAATGTCTAGAGTGGCCACCGGGCTGCGTGGGGAGCTCATGATGAACCACCAGAACCACCGACCTGGAGGTTCCGCA